CTATGCTGACTGGGCCTAAGCATCGGGTTGTCCCTCATGTGTTGCATGATGGTGTTTAGGATGAGCTGCTCCATCAGCTTCCCGGGCACCGAAGTCAAGCTGACAGGCCTGTAATTTCCCGGATCATCCTTCCGATCCTTCTTATAATGGGCGTCACATTGGCCAATTTCCAGTCTGTCAGGACCTCCCCGGTCAGCCAGGACTACTGGTAAATGATAGAAAGTGGCCTGGCGAGCACCCCTGCCAGCTCCTTCAGCACTATCGTGTGTATCCCATCTGGTCCCATAGACTTGTGTATGTCTCTCTGATGCACTGACTGTCTCCTCCTGGACTGCAGGGGGGTCATTCTCCCAGTCTCTGTATTCTGGCTGTGGAGGCTGGATTTCATCAATACAACTAAACTTGCTATTAAAGACTGAGACAAAGAAGGCATTAAGCACCTCAGCCTTCTCCTCATCACTTGTTACCAAATTTCCTCCTGCATCTAGCAGGGGATGGAGACTCCCCTGGACTTTCTTTTGCTACTGATATACTTATAGAAACATTTCTCGTTATCCTTGATTGCAGAGGCCAAATTAATTTCCAGTTGGGCTTTAGACCTCCTGATTTCCACCCTGCATAGCCTCAGAGCCTCTCTGTAATCATTGTGAGTCACTAGCCCCTTCTTCCAAAGGCTGTAAACTCTCCTTTCCTCCCCGAGTTGCAGCCAAAGCTCCCTGTTCAGCCAGGGTGGTGTTCTCTGGCGTCGGCTTCTCTTACAGCACCTGGGGACCGCCTGCTCCTGAGCCATTAACACTTCCTTCTTAAAGAGTGCCCAGCCTTCCTGGGCCCCTATACCCTTCAGGAGAGTTTCCCAGGGGATCCTTTCAAGCAGGTGCCTAAACAAGACAAAGTCAGCCCTTCTGAAATCCAGGATGGCAGTCCTGCTTATCCCTCTCCTGACCTCTCTAAGAATAGAGAACTCTTATTTCATGATTGCTGTGCTCTAGTCGGCCTCCAACTGACACATCATCCACCAGTCCTTCTCTGTTCACAAACAGGAGATCCAGCAGGGCACCTTCTCTGATCGGTTCACTCACCAGCTGCGTCAGGAAGTTGTTTCCCACATGTTCTAGGAATCTCTGGGACTGGTCCCACTCTGCTGTGTTGTATTTCCAGCAGATGTCTGGGAAGTTAAAGTCGCCCACAAGAACAAGGCAAGCAATCGTGAGATTTCTCCTAAATGCCTATAGAATATCTCATCCACCTTTCTGTCCTGGTTGGGTGGCCTGTAGTAGACTGCTACAACATCTGCTCTGTGGGCCTTCCCCCTGATTCTAATGCAGAGACACTCTACCCTGTCTTCACTACACTTGTACTTAAAGCAATCATAACAGTCCTTAACATACAGAGCCACCCCACCACCTCTCCTTGTCTGTCCCTCCTAAAGAGCTTGTACCCATCAATTGGCACACTCCAGTCATGGGAGACATCCCACCATGTTTCTGTAATTGCAACATCGTAATTTTCCTGTTTCATCACGGCTACAAGCTCCTCCTGTTTGTTACCCATGCTGTGTGCATTGGTATACATGCACTTCAGATGGGCCGATGTTTTGCCCCTTTCCCCCTTCAAATCTAGTTTAAAGCTCTGTCTATGAGCCCAGCTAACTCCTGCCCCAAAATCCCCTTCCCTTTCGGGGACAGGTGCATCCCATCTAATGTCAAAAGATCAGGTGCCCTGTATACCAACCCATGATTAAGGAATCCAAAGCCCTGATGGTAACACCAGTCTTGGAGCCACCCATTCATCTGCTGAATTCTCCTGTAATCTTCCTCAACCATACCCCCAAACAAAGGGATGGACGAGAACACAATTTGTGCCCCCAACCCCTCAAGCAGTTTTCCCGAGGACCAGAAGTCTCTCTTCATTGCTTTAGGCCTCCTGGTGATGTCATCACTACCTACCTGAAAAACCAGGAGAGGGTAGTAATCCTTTAGTCTCACTAGGGTAGGGAATGTTGCTGTGAGGTCCTTGATGTGGGCACCAGGGAGGGAGCAGACTTCCCTATGAAGCGGGTCTGGTCTGCATATGGGGCTTTCAACACCCCTTAGCGTGGAGTCACCCACTACAATGACTCTTCTAGGGTTCTTTTCAGAGCTGGTTTTAATACCTGGTCTGAAGTGACCTGGCCTTGGTGAACCTTGGTCTTCTTCATTTGTTTCATTTTCTTCCTCCTTCTCTTCTTTGTTCAGAAGTTCCAGGGCCCCGAATCTATTGTGAAGGGGCACCATGAAGGGTGAGGGAGGTGGGGAGAGGATTTTCCTGCCTCCTCAAGCAGGGACCCGTTTCCAGCCTCCCTCATCTCTTAGGGCCCCTCCTTCTGCCTGATAGCAAGAGGGTGAGGGATTACCTGCCTCGTTTGGAGCTTCCATTAGCTCCTGTTGCTTCAGGGGTGCTAGGGTGTTACTCCACCAGTCAATTTCCCATTCATACTCCCTAATACTTCTTAATCTCTCAGTGTTTTCTTTGAGTTCCTCCACCAGGCTGAGCAGGTCATCCAGCCGATCGCAGCGCACACAGGTGCTGTCCCTGCTGCCCTCCAGCAGGACCAACAGGCTCAGGCACTCCCTGCAGCCCGAGACCTGAACCTCTGCATGTTTGTGTGGCAGCTCCGTCTGGGTCGCCACATTCTTTCTGGCATTGGTTGTGATGCGAGTTATACTCATGGCTTTCAAACTTCCTAACGTGCAGGCTCATAAGTTGCTCTCATGAGGACACAACTTGTTTGAAACATGCTTTAGCTTGCTGCAACAGGCTTCCCAGTTACCATTCCTCAAGCCTTTAGAAGCAGTCCACAGACCCCAACACCCACAGGTTCAGACTGAAAATGTAGAAGCAAGTCCTAAGGGCAGTGGGATAGCTATCCTATCTGCTGTCTGCCCTATGCTATCGGCAAAATACTCTTGGACCAGCTCCATCCAGTGGCTGGCATCAGAGCAGCTCACTTTTGTTTCTTGTCCTGCTATGCCACTCTGAGGAAATTAACTCTTATTGCAGAATCTGGCCTCTATGTAACCCATGTAAACAGCTGGTAAAGATGATAAGCAGCGGCAATGGCAGGTTGTTACCTGTTAGTTCTGGAAGAAGCACAACAAAAAAACAAACTGTTGCTCAAACAGCAGAGCTAATCATAAAGATCTGTGTCTCAAGTGCCCTCTGCCCATGCAGATCTGTTGGTGTCTAATGAACTCACAATGCAAACTTTGCCTCAACAGGTCAGGAACAGTGACTTCTTTCCCTTCTGCTCTGTCTCTTACAAACCAGTATTTATTGTCTTTGAGGTTTCTCTCATTCATATGTGCACAGTTCCTCTGATCTGGTTATAATATACCATGTTCCTTTTTAGGCCTGTCTTGGTTCTTCTCTTTTTTCAGAATGATCTGCATTTTGTAACTTTCTTCTTTCACTTAGCTGCTGCTGTATATCCTGTCTCTAGGTATGTCTTTCTCCGTTTCCTCTCTGTGCTATTCATGGTCCAAAGTAACCTTTCAGCAGATTGCTCTTTTTTTTCCTCTCCATTATGATATTACTATAGTCTGTATTACTGTAACATCCAGAAGCACTAACCAAACTATGCACTCCAGTCACTATACGAACATCCCAGCAGAAACAAATGAAGTCCCCAAGTGTACCATTAAAATGGGGCAGAAAAAAAGCAGAAAGGCAAGGAAAGCACAGCTGTCAGGTAACTTCCCAAAGGAGACAAAGATGCTCAGTGGCAGAAGTAGCACCTACAGGCCCAGTTCTTCTGTGTCCTGGATCTTGTGTTTTGATTTGCATCTGTGCATTTATACTCCCTCATTGTTGCTCTGGCAGCATTCTTCTTTCCATAAAATCATTGTAAAACATGTGACACACCTACAGTCCTTTCAACTTCATCACCCCAGAATTAAAGATTTCAACCTTTTGCACCACATACAGAATGATTTCCCACCTCCCTGAATATACAGCAAGATGCACGGCCCTTACTATACTTGTGCTCTGCCTGTCTTTAACCCTCCCCTCCCTAAAGCATCTCAGCATGCCCTGGATTATGAACCTGTAACACCAGGTCAATTGCTTTCCTAATGACTTTCTTCAGGTCTGCTACTTTGTTCTACTGACCAGCATCACTTCAGAGGATCTCCTGCCTTCCACAATTTCACCCACTGGTAACAACTGGCTGTTCCAAAGCCTCGTCTAATTCCACCTTTTACAGAGACCGGATTCATCAGCTTTGCCCTGTCAGAAAGTTCGACTGAAACGGTGCCATTTTGTGAGTTTCCACTGTGGAGGAAACACAGCTCACCATGCCTGCGACACCATAGCCCACCCGAGCATGGGTAATGACAGGGACCTGCTATTTGCAGCGTTCTAACTTTCCACAGCAGCTGCTGCAGCAGCATTCCCCAGAACCTCTGTCCCCCCATGCATTCCCACGGCGTCAGTCCGGTGCTGTTGGTCTCACTGCACTGCATCTGCAAACCCCAATATTGGTGCTAGAGTGGGTTCTCAAAGGAAACACACTACGCTGGCATGAGAAATGCCTCCTTTTGCTTTTTGTGTCTCTTAATTTATAGTAGCGTAAACCGAGCATAAAGCACAACAAATGCCAGCCACCCAAGTAACTGCTGAGCACTGCCCTGTAACGCGTGGGCAGGGACGTGACTGCCGGTCAGGGCACAACGCTGGTAGACCCTCCTCGGTGTCCGTCAGGGCATGGTGGAACGGGAAAAGCGAACTGGAGGAGTACCCCGGGCCCCGGCACGACCCAACCTCCCGCCGCCCAACCCGGTACGTTTCTGACGGTTAATTAGCAGACCCGTGGATTAAAACTAAAGCCTGCGCGCTGCCACTGCCGGGTCCGTCCTGCGGGGTTCCCACTGCGGGGAACCGTCCTGCCCGGTGGCACAAGCCCGGCTCTACGTGCCAGGGGAGGCAGTGGCGAGCCACGCGGCGCTGTGCCGCAACGCCCCGGAAACGGCAGCGAGGACATGGCGGCGGAGGGGATCGCTGTGGCGGAACTGCAGCCGGACGGGGAGAGCAGCAGCGAGCTGGACAGCAGCTACGGGCAGCTGCGGGAAGACGAAGAGGAGGGGGAGGACGTCAACTACGTACTCTACAGGTACGGCCGCGAGCGCCGCGGTCGGGCTCTCTCCGACAGGGGCGCCAGGGCGGGGATGTCGTGTCGCGTGAGGTCACGTCAGGTCCGGCGCGTGGCGCCAGGGGCCGGGCCGTGGGGCGATATCGGACGTGTATCGCGTGTGGCTCAGAGCCGGGTCACCGCGTTGCGCCTCGGGCAGTCTGAAGTCGGGTGATGGATTACTGTTGTCTTACAGCTGGATATTAATAATACGATTACATGTGCCAGTACCCCCTTTAATTGTTTATGTGCTGGTCTGTGTCATAGACAATAACATAGCGACAATAATAGCCACCGTTGGAACAATGATGTGTTGGTGGACATAAATTTGTGAGTGTAGTGCTTTGATGAACATTTGGTGCTTTTCAGAAGCATTGAAAGAACAAAAACGTCTGTTTACAGGGACAGGAAGGAATGGGCAGACGTTGAACCTGTCTCTCAAAATGATGGGCCAAATCCTGTTGTTCAGATCATCTACAGTGAAAAATGTAAGTTTTAAACGTTGTACACTGAAAAGGTGGTTAAATTTATGTCTGACCTTAGCTTATCTAAAGCAACTTTCCATGTTTTGGATAACATATTTCTAGCACAGTACTATGAAAAAATATTTAATGTGTTATGGTGGTAGTATTTGATGTACACACCAAGCATCTCCAAAGCTGAATCTTCACCTGAAGTGTTACTAGCCAAGTTTTTATTTTAAAATCTTGTGGCTTAAAAGGTAATACAACAGACAGTCTAATTTACATAATAAGGCATTTCTAGCCCACAAGTGGAAGAGAGATGTATGAAGCTACTGCATCTGGGGAAATAGTGTGAGTAAGCAGCAAGGAACTTTTTCTGAGTGTTTCGCTGTTTTTCAGATGGTGTGTTTTTAAGGCATTTTTGCACCTTTTCAGTATACTAATAATTTAGAGGTTTCAATCAGTAGTGCTGTCAGAGCAATAATTTTAAAGAGATACAGTTAGAATACACAAAATAGGAGGTAACTCGAAAGGATTACTAACCTTACCCCCTAATAAGACCACTGTCTCACAACCTTGGATAAGATGCTGTTATCTGTTTAGTTCAAGATGTCTATGATTACTTCCGGGCTGTTCTGCAGCAGGACGAGAGAAGTGAAAGAGCTTTCAAGCTAACAGCAGATGCCCTTGAGTTAAATGCTGCAAATTACACAGTATGGTAAGTGATAATCTCAGGATTATTTCTATCATCATTTGATTGCCGACCTCTTATATCTCTAACAATTTTGTTAGTCTGGTTGAGATAGTTGAGTTTACAGAGAGAGGTAGTGTAGTCTCCCAGTGAACTTCTAAATAAAGCCTTTGTTCAGTATTTTCTGTGTCTCATTTTGATTTAGTGGTTTTCATTCATTTGGCCTTCAGGAAATTATCAATCAAGGTCAGGATTAGCCACAAAAAGAACTTTGCTGTTTAAAATTAGATCACTTACCTGATAACGTGACCTTGGCAAAATGCTGAAGAAGCCCTTGGTTGAGTTCAAGAAGAGGCATAAAAGCATGATTGCTGCCATTTCTTGCTAAATAATTGTATACTTATTAAATAGTGCATTTTAGAAGACATCAGGTTAATCTTCAATTAGGTAATGAATAAACAGTGCATTTCTGATATTCCTATTAGGCCCTTTTAACTTGTGCATACTAAAAGTACCTCTTGTATGTCTTTATTCCACTGACTTGCATAAAACCGAAGTTTACATTATTTTAAGCATGTAAGTTATAGTTTTTGTGATTATAAGACTAGTATGGGTAAACAAATGATTGAATCTGAAACAGGACTGTTGTAGTCTTAGATAACATAATGTTATAAGCAGTTGTATTCCAGTTCTCCACTGTTCAATAATCAAATGAGCTGTAACAGAATTGGATACATGGCTTAGATTTTTGTACTCCTTTTAACTCCGTTAGAACTGTGAACAAAGGTTTGTCTATGTTCTTCTCTGTGAATTTTAGGAAAGGCCTGTATCAGTGTTCAAATGTGTGACATTTTTATACAGGCATTTCCGGAGGGTCCTCCTGCAGTCTTTGGGAAAGGATCTCCATGAGGAACTTAAGTATATTACGGCTATCATTGAAGATCAGCCAAAGAACTACCAAGTCTGGTAAAATTGTATTTTCTTTTCAGTTCTTAACATTTTTGCAGATAATTTTTGTTTTGTAAATTGTCTAGAATAAATTGTGATCACTGATTCTAAAAGTTGTTAAGAGTTGCTTCCTGCATCTGCTGCAGTGGTAGTAGTGGAGGAGTTAAATGGAATTGCATGACTATCACTGCCAAAGTCCTCTTTAGTAGTTTGTTCTAAACATGATTATGACATGCTAAAAAATCTTGCTTTCTTTTAATTTCAATCTTTAAACTGTCAAAATAAGACTAACGGATCAAAAAAATGACTCATGAAAAGGCAAGGAAAAAAGCAAATAGGAATTAGTATTTTTTCTTTTGTTGACTTTCAGAGTTCGCTTACCTGTTGTTGGGTTTTATTCCCAAGCAAATGGGCATAGACAAAATAGCAGTGTTGTTATTGCTAAAGAAATTATGTAGTACTAGTAAATTTTATTCTGTTGAGGACTTTGGCTATGAGTGTTAAAAGTGGAAACACTTAAGTAAACATAAGTTGTCTAAAAGGAGGTGAGATTGGCAAATGTGTATCTGTAGTTAAAATTTGTTACAGTGTAAGTATGCATCATGTATTTGTCAGAGTCAACTGAAATGTTTTAGTATATTTAATTTGAAGTATTTAACTAGTGGGTTTTTTCTAAGTAGCAGAGTTGCTGTATACTGATTTATTACAGAAATACAGACCACATGTTCACAAAAAATTTTTAGGCTATTCTAAACATAGTTTTCTCCTTTTGTCATCAGGCATCACAGACGGGTGTTGGTGGAATGGCTGCAGGATCCATCCCAAGAGCTTGAGTTCATAGCTGACATTCTTAACCAAGATGCCAAAAATTACCATGCATGGCAACACAGACAATGGGTTATTCAGGTACTGTATTCACAGAACTCTTGATTCACTAGAAAGCGTGCTCAGGTTGTCTTAAAACACAATTTGAATTGCATTTGGCTCTTTGTATCTTAATGCTGAAGGGGGAAAAATAATTGCATTTTAATGTGTGGTAGAGGTTAGCCATAAACTTGACTTTTAGAAAGCAAGTTCAAAATGGTCAGTCCTTGGCTGCTTACTGTTACGTGTGTGAATGAGCTAATGTGATGAGTGATGAGCTAATACCATTGTATGCAACTGAATAGTGTAGTGTGTTCCCAGTGCACCCTTTCTTATTTTTCTTGGAACTTTGCGTTGATTTCTTTAAAAAAGTCTCTGTATCTAATGTTCAGAGAACTTAAGAGCAAAGAGAACATACTTTAAAAAATAAAACCTTTTGATTATGATATTCTCTCTTTCTTCTCTTTACACAGGAGTTCAAATTATGGGACAATGAACTGGAATACGTAGACCAGCTTTTGAAGGAAGATGTGAGAAACAACTCTGTTTGGAACCAACGACATTTCGTAATTTTCAATACCACTGGCTATGATGATCCAGCAGTCCTAGACAGAGAAGTCCAGTTAGTAATGCTGCTCATGCTCACATTAAGCATTCTCCATGACATGAAAGCAAAGGAATACTTTGACAGTCCTGTGGACTTGTCTTTCCTGGTTTTAATGCAGTTTTTGGGCTCACTCTCATGACTAGCAGATCAAGCGTTAGTGCATGTGTAGATGTGTTCGAACTGCTGTTCAGTAGTACTGAAGCAAACTATGCTTAACCTGAGTGAGCTATTCTCATTAATCTCCTCCTACCCTGATGTTTATTGTGCAGTCAAAACTTTTGGCTTTATAAAAAGCCTGTAAAGTGTATAGATGTAAAGATGTAAAATCAGCTGGCTATAGTGGAACAGCCTGCAGAAGATCTGTGACACTGGAACCATATAAGTTGCACTGTTTATTAGTATCTTACATCCTACCCCTAGAACGCTTGGAAGGAGAGGCACTCTCAGTGTTATACTGAACTGCTGTTTTAGTAGGACAGTAACCCCAATGATTTAAAGATAACATGGATATGAACTGTAGGAAGAGGAGTTGCCTTTTGTGAGGAATTTGATGCAGCTGGAATAAGAAAGCTTTCAGGGGTATGTGGTCAGCACAAAGACAACTGTCTTTGAGTTGGCTTGTTCTGAGGAAACTGTTGAAACTGTTTTGAAGTGGTATGTTTGTAACTGAAAACAAACTGGGTTTCTAGCCATTTACTTTATTACTGATGGTAAGGGAAGCTTCCTTGTGTGGCTTTCACATCTCAGACCACCGATCAGGGTTGATGTTTATGAGAAGAGGTGAAGAAGCAATGGAAAGAATGTACTGCAATTTTTCAGAGTTATTATAGAGAAGAAAGACTGAGTCTCTGAATAGGTCCATTGGTATATTGTTCATAGGGGATCCCAGCCTCCACCACCTTTTATGATTGTGTTTGCAAACTGCTCTAAGTTATACTTCTCTTCCAATTTATAACTTTCCCGCAGCTTAATAAATCTTATTAATTTCCATGACTTAGGCTTGGATATTTACAGCTTTTTCTCTCCAGAGGTTAAATCCAACAGCCTCCTTTGATCCATTTATACATGGTGCTGTGTTCAAGATAATTGGATACCATCTTAAGAATCAGACTGTCTAAGGTTAAGACTTCTCAGATGTCATTATAGAACCACAGTTGGCCTGCTTGTTGCTTGATAAACTTGATCTTTGTCAGAGTGACTGCAGAAGGCGAAAAAAGTTTTAGGGTTGGCTATAGTTTTTTTCAGTACTGCTTAAGGAACTTTTTATAAATATCTGCTGTCTCTGAAAATCAGCCTCATGCCTGGTTGTGCTGGGGAGGGGCAGAAGGTAAAGTTTGTTTTGTGAAGATGAAATGTGGCTTTGCAACTGTATGGCAGGTCACTCTCGTTGCTTTGCTTTTAGAGAAGTTGCCTAACTGCTACTTTAATAGAACTGCTGCAGAAGGCTGTGTAAGCTGAAACCTCAAGCTCTGCCTTTCTGTGGGTTTGGTCAAGTGCAGCCTCATGAAAAAAGTTCTGCAAATACATACAGAACATACCACATGCAGTCATATTAAGATAATGCCCTCTGGGCTTTGATTAGTCCAGTCCTTCACAGCCCCTTGCCATTTCTGAGCATCAGGACACAAGTTACTCCTTTAGCATACCGGGATAGCATGTCATATTGTTTCTTAGTGATACTGCTCATAGTTTTGAGAACTCTTTCACTATTGTATAAAATGCAGCAAATGGAACACTTGAGAATTTCGAACAGTTCTCACAGTGTCTGCCTCTCTGAGACTTGCAGTGATTGCAGCGACACATTTTTGATCTATGACCCAGCTGAGATGATCTGCAAAAAGACTGAAATACAGACTAGAGGCATGGGTTTGGGAGTGTCTGAGCACATTCAGATAATTTCTGACTGCATTGTTAGTGGTTGCGTTCATGACCTGTTACCTTTTTTCTCACAGTTACACTCTTAAGATGATCGCAGCAGTGCCACATAATGAGAGCGCATGGAACTATTTAAAAGGGTGAGACAGCCTTCTCTGTGGGGCAAAGAGGATATCTGTGGGTGTCTTATGCCTAGCTCTTAACTGGAAAGAGCTTGTTGCTGCTTGTTCTAGTGTTGTGTGCATAATCAAGTAGGCAAAAACCTCCACAAGGGATCAATCCGTGAACCTAATTTCTCTGTAACTTTCCTCAAGAGTTTCTGGCCCTGTATTCTTGTGGGATGATTGCTAGTACTTCTCATGTTTTTAAAAACTTGACTGGTAATGTTAGTGGGTTCAAGAGCATAGAGTAGGAAGTAATAAGCATGCTTTCAGTCTATTTTCTGTTCACTTGAGCATAACTACACTAGCTTACTACAACATTAAGTTGTATTGTTGCTGCATGCTGCTTACTTTCTGCCTTACTTATATTTGCACCCTTATTTCAAAACTGATTTCCAAACAAAGGAGTCATAACAAAAATGTAATTTTTCACACTGTATTTCCCAGACATTGTTTCAAGCCTATTAACTTCTGATCTAGGATTCTACAGGATCGTGGTCTTTCAAAGTATCCAAATCTGTTAGAGCAGCTGTTGAATTTACAGCCCAGCCACAGTTCACCCTATCTGATTGCCTTTCTTGTGGACTTTTATGAAGATATGCTTGAAAACCAGTGTGATGACAAGGAAGAAACACTAAATAAGGCATTGGAGGTACGTTTTGAGAGCTTGGTTTTGCTTCTTAGGGATGCCATCTGTTGCTCTCGTTTTATATCCCAGCAAAGTGATACTGATTTTCGTAAATGGAACAGGTTACTTGTTAATCACAGGAGCTCTATGAAGAGTTGAACATGAAAGCCAGATAATCACAAGGGTCTCATAAATTTATCTATAAATGATAACTTGCCAATTACAAAATCACCAAGTTTTCTTCACCTGGTAGTAAAGGAAGGTTTCTAATATTGCCTGCATAAGAAAGGAGATACTTGAATAATGGAGTTTCCAGTGCTAAGTTTGTAGCATGAACTCACTGTATTCTCTGAAGGTTAATGAATCTTGTTCTCAAAGAATCTGTATCTAAACAGAATCTCAAACTCCCTTTGCACTTTCTTAGCCCTTTCTAAGAAAGCTGGCAGAATTAGCTTAAAGGCCAGCAGGCACTGGGGAGATCAGTAAGGAATGTCAGGCACCATTTCCTACAGAAAATTAATGACTTCTAGCAGTGCTGTGCATCTCCCTGTGTTTATATTCAGGGAACTCACTGTGGGACAGACTGGAACTCAGAGTAGTTAGAGGTGCAGTTCTTGCCTGGAGTCTCTGTATGCCAGCATTGTTCTTTCTCAAAATTTTTCCTTTGTTGTGTTCCAGGAGCAGAGTGTAAGTGTGTGCAGTTGTACCTCCCAAATTCATGTCCTTTTATACTACTTCACTGAGTTTGACTTCTTCATCTATTTAGGCATTAAAGCTCCTGTTTCTCAACTCTGTTTCTCTGAGTAAGGCAATGTTAACTGCCTAATAAAAGGGAATTGAGTAGAACATTTGTAGACAGTGTTTATACCATATACATTTTACACAGCATGTCCTGTGAGTAGGGTTGACTTCTGCTGTGCCTCACTACTCACACAGATCAAAATAAAGCAAAAATTAGAAGTAGAAGTATCCATATAGCACCAGCTCTGACATGTTTTGAGAGGTTACTGACTTGCATGGAGAATCCTTTCGGGACAGTCTGCTAAGAGAAAAACCATAAACAAAATTATCTCCTGTCAGTCCATCAGGAGTACTGAAGATTTAAGTGCAGGATGTTCCCCCATTGTTTTGAATGAAGTGGTTTACAGCCTACTGGATCACTAAAAGACAAGCTTGTCAGGAAGTCACAAGTGTACTGTAGTACACTGCAGGCTGAATAAACTGGGGTAGATTATGAGTAGAAGGCACAAAAGGAGTCCAGGAGAAGAAGTTACAACTGAAATTGTGCAGTGTCATATTGGTTGACTACCAATTGGAGTTGACATCAGTTTGAGGTCATTGAACAGTTGAAAATCCGGTGAATAAAACAAATGTTGCTAAGAAAGGCATTTGTAATACTGGCTGAAACAGACGTTGTATGCATTTTATAATTAAGTTTGCTGTAAGCTTTTGGTATAACACTCCAATCTCTCAATTTTCTTTCATAGTTGTGTGAAATTCTGGCTAAAGAAAAAGACACCATCCGAAAGGAATACTGGAGATATATTGGAAGGTCCCTTCAGAACAGGCACAGCTCAGGCCCTGAACAGAACACACTGGCAGACAAGCATCAGTAACTGGAAGTGGAAGAAAACAGTGTTAAGCACTGAAGCTGTTCTAAAGCAGTACTGAGTAGGTTTATCAGCTAACTTAAAATCCAGTGTAGTATTCCCCTGGTGAAGAGGTATTACAATGAAATGTCAGGCTGTTCAGAAATTAATTTCCGTTTTGTAATGTGATTTTCATTGTATATGTTTCAGGAATAGTACCTTCTTGACTAGTATACTGTTATATATTTTTCAAAAGCTCATGTTATGAACGCTGCATAATTAAATTATAATATAAACTGCGTTTTTGACAAATTTTGGAGGTTTGAAGTTCAGATGTCAAAACAGCAATTTCGACAGATCTACTTGTACGAGTTCAAACTTGGACGTAATGCAGTGCAAGCTGCTCGAAACATCAATGAGGTATATGGCCAGGGAAGCGTTAACGAACGGACAGTGCGACTTTGGTTCCAAAAATTTCGACGTGGCAATTTCGACCTTGAAGATCAAGAAGGTTGCAGACGTCCTTCTGCTATTGACTACGATTAATTGAAGGCTCTGGTGGAAGCACGCACAACTGTTCGAGAACTTGCGAAAGAACTCAGGATAAGCGTATCAGCTGTTTCTGAGCATCTGAAGAAGATTGAAAAGTCAAAGAACCTTGACAAATGGGTGCCGCATGAATTGAATGAGAATCACAAAAATCACCATTTTGAAGTGTCGTCGCTTCTTTTTTGCAACCAGAACGAAAGTTGAGTGCAGAGTGCTGTATAGTCTCGGGTCACTGCTGCTACTGGTGATAGCTCTGTGTGCAGTTAAGAAATTTATTAAGGCTTAATTATTGAAATGTACCAAATAAAGGGTTTGTTTCCTAGTAATAAATACATAAAGTTATACCTACGATATATAAGGCACTAAATTAATTTCTCATGCCTTGACTTACCCACTTGTGGTTCCTAACAGTCACATCAGATCCTGCAGTAACAACTGCCGGTAACTTCACAGTTGTGACTATTAAGTAACATACTTCTGGTTAGTGCGAGCAGGCGCTGCAGTTGTTGCTTTATGTGGCAGCAGCTATGCAACACTGACAGCACATGCTATTGTATGAAACTAACACCAAGTAATTTTGTAATAAAAATAGGTAACAAAGCATTTGTCTGAAATTTTTTAGTGTATTTCTTTTGGTCTTTAAACAGTCTGTCAAAGAACAGTCTGTTCTTCTCAGATGCTAATAGAGATAAAATATTCCCTTTTAGGGAGATTGGATTCTGTTGCATTGAGGTGGCTTTTGCACTGGAGTATTCTCATCCCAGAAACTTTCAGTATACTTGATGTATTCAGTAGAGCCTTGAATTCTTATCTGCACAGTCAGGAACAATGCTTTGAGGATCCACTTAGATTTTTGTAGGAATTCTGTTCAGACAGCTGCAAGTCTGAATTTTTTTTTTCTTCATCTTTTATGACCAGACCAAACTTAAATCATAGGTCAGAAGATATTATAACTAACTGGTTATGTTACGTTATCTTCACTGAACTTGAAGGGAAGGAATGGCTTTCATCTAGACCTATTTGCAGTAAATGTCTTAACCTTGTTGCTCTTATAGGCTTTTCGTGTTTTTTCTGTTTATATATTCAGCCAAGAACTATTTTTCCTTTTCTTTGTGAAAGATACAAGGCACCTGCAGTACAAAACTGTAGAGTGTGGTGTGCGTACCTCTACAAGGAAACTGCTGCATCTGCCCTGTTTTCAGTAAATGGCTATTGTAAATTGTGTTCTTAGCACAGCGTGCTTGTTTGATATGACGTATTTTCTTGGAGGTGATCGTAAAGAGAACAAATAAATACTAATATTTATTCCATAATATGAACTGTCTTTCTGATACTAAACATTAAAAGCTGCTGCTGTAATTAAATGTAGTGGAGACTTTAAATGCTTAAAATACATTAATGCATTCTTTAAATTTAAAACAGTATCTGATTTTTTTAATGCTTTTACCACTTGACCAGCAGTAGAGAAAACATCTTTGTAATGACACGTTAACATTTAAAATGGACATGAACTTCAAACTTCTGGAGATTTTTTAATCTGCTCTTAAGATCCAGCATAGAACAAAAAGTGTATATTTCTACCCCCATTAATTGTTCCTAATTGAAACTAAACTAAATACAAAATACTGATCACTCAGGATGTTCAAGGTCTTCAGTACCTTAAAATAAACATCATCAACGTAGAGGGAACAGAATTTGTCCTCTGAATATGGTGTTAATAAGTTCCTGTATCTATAAACAAAATTCAGAGGGCACTTGGAATAAGTCAGAGTATTCTATAAAGACCTTGGCATGAATTTCAGAGACAATAACTCATCCCAAGGTAAGAAGATGAACAGTGTCCACTGGGACACTGTATTTTGGAATATGACCTCTCAGTCACTTTTGGTCTGAAGAAAGATCTTAGATTTAGCCCTACTGTGCTTCTGTGTCAAGAATGGTGGGATCTTCTGACAAGCCTCTTAGACTATTTTATAGTGTGGTCAACTTACAGCATTCTTATGCTTGAAAATGATGTCTAGAAGTAATCTGTAAAGAATCATTAACTAACAAGGTTAATACAGTTTTATGCTGGTTATACAAGCACAATGATAGTTGCAAAGATAATGCCACTTCTAAATTTATCAATGAAGGAATAACCAGATATGTATGCTAACAGAAAAATGTCTCATGTAAAATAAATGTGTGATCAAACAAATCATGCAAATCCTAACAAAAAAACATGCTGGAGACTAGAGTCCAGCTGTTTGGTTTTTTGGTTTGCTTTTTTGTTGTTGTTTTTTTTTTTTAAAGTCACTATGTTTTAACAGAAATGTTCAGGTTTTTCTTTCAATTGTTTATGTTTACTGTCATTCGGATTGCAAGGAAGCTCTAAAATTGATTTCAAAAGGCCCCTCAGTTCTGTGATAGTCAGCCATACTCAGAAATACTGAGCTGAAAGAGCTGGGAAGACAATAGTCTGCCCAGCCAGGCTGCAACTGCAGCTATGAAGACTTTAATTTTTAAAATGTGTCTCAGACAGAATCTTCCTACGGTAGTGGGAGCTTGACAAAATGTATGGGCTATAGAGAGAAGGATCTTACAATAGGAAGTGTTAGATGACTTTAACCTGTAGGCATTGGTACTGACTACCTATGATTAGAGGAAACACCAAACTGATTTGTTCTAAGGGTTCACCTGTACAAGAATACTTTAACTGTTGTTACTGATTGTGTGTAGTGATGTGACTCTTGTGTACAATTTTATTACTGAAGAACTGTGCCTAAATGGAAAACTGTATTGGTACAACTGTCCCTTGTAAATCAGTGTAACCAGAACATTCAGTGGAGTACAGAGAATTATTAAAGCATGTGAAATAATTTCCTATGCCTGCTTTCATTAAAGACTGATCTTCTTGCCCTGGTCTAGCTGTGCCTGTTTGTCTGTCTGTCTAAGCTGGTACTCACTTCCACCTTATTGTCTCTGCAACTTGGCTGACAAAACAGTACCCAAGTCCTTCTTAATCTGTTCAGTACAAAACCACCTCAGCTAGCACAAAACGCTTCTATCAGTTGCGGTCTGGTTGTGCTGAGGCAGATTAGGAGTGTGCTGTTCAGCTGGACCTTCTGTGAGAGCAGTATCCTCCAGCAGGGACGCAGTGATGTTTCTAATCACTCCTGCTACACGAAATACTTCTGTCCAAGGTCTAGCAGGCAATTCATGCAGTGGAGTGGTGATGAGGGGCTTATACAAAAGCACAAAATGGGTGAAATCTCCTGTGGCTTTTGGAACAAAAGGGTAAGGGAACAACACTAAGTGATGGTGTGGAGTCATCCCTTACAGGCTCACATGAAGGCTTTGCAAATGCTGGTGGACTAGCCCATGTGCGAGTTCAAACTAGGCAGGGGAGATACTGCATCTGTGGTTTTCTTGCCCTGTGCACGTGAATGGAGAGAAAATACCTTGAGCCACATGTCTGAGATGTTGTCCCTGACACGGTGTAGTGGATGCAATAATGTAAAAAATGTTCCTTAGCCTAGCTCATGCCCTTTTCTGAACAACAGTGCCTTCAGCACATTGCTGACATTGTGGGTTAAGATGGGTGCTTTGCACTTTCTATTTCACGTCTGGTTTTATTTGGTGATTACCACTGCAGCTTTTGGGTTGGCAGCATGCTTCCCTGGTGTATCTTCTGCTTAAGGCAAATTGATATGGAAAACTGAGATAAGATGATGTTTGACTGAGTTTTGGCAAGCCAATTAATGTGGCAGTATGACATTTTATTTCTAGTCCACAGGTGTCAAATATCGTTCAGTATTTTAATTTTTTCTTGTAAATACCAATCTCTATTAAATATCTCAAGTCGAAAGCATTTTCTCTCCCTTTAAGGCAGTACTGTTAGGCTTTTGGTACAGTATATTCTAACAGCAAAGGGTAAAAAAAAAATTACATTTGAATGTAAAAAACACATTATTTTTGTCTTATAACAGGTTATTTCCAGAATCCCTAGCAGTCTGGACTGGTCTGTATAATTCTAGTAATGAATAACATTGCCATTTTAAAGTACTCTGTGTACATTTACATGAGTACACTATGGGTGCCTACACAATATAAGCGAACGGTAGATGAAATCTGAAGTAGAGAAATCTCTGAAGTAGCAATGACTTGCTTTTCTCCACAATATGTTATCTGATGCTTAAGTGATAGAAATAGGGATGATCTTTACTCGCAGAAGTCACAGTGTGAAAGTGACGTGGTCATTTTCTCTATTCAGTGCTTCTTTGCTCTTAGCATCCTTTTACTTTAATGCATCACTTAGCTTAATAACATATACTCTTTGGACACAAGACTTTTTGAAAATTAGGAACCTATTTCTGGACCAAATGTGATGCTGATGACACTGTTGATAGAGGAACATGTTTACAAGTTCTGGGCCTCCCTTTGCTTGCTCTGAAAAGAACACCTTACCTTCTGCTGCTAGGGTGGGCCCTGCATTTGCAGAAAAGAGGAAAAAAAAAAGCAGGAAAAAAAAAGGGCGTTCTAGTACGTAAAGAGGCAAACGAGTGTCTCCATGTGAACATTCAGGACAAGGCTGCCAAATTCAAGGGTGCATGCACACATATTTAGGTTTCTGTAAGTACTTGGCATGAAGAGTTAATAGAAGCTTCACCAGATTTCAATTGGGACATTACCTCAGGATGTTTAGATGTCTGTGTGAGGTGTCCTGTGTAAGCTCTTTGGGGCTAGGACTTTGTGCTCCATTATGTGTGTCACCCATCACTGTTCCTTAAGCAGTCCTGCGATATAAGCCTACATAAGATTTCAGCCTCGGGGAATTAAAATCTTTGCAGTATCATTTTTCTGCTGCAGCGCAGCAGCAAAGTGGACATTAATCGCTAGATGGCAGTGTCAAATTCACCCAGAGTTCATTGACGCCGGATATGTGCAGGCAAGAAGACGTGTAACTAAGACAATTCTTTCGCCATGCAACTCCATTAATTTCACACCTGCTAATTAAACATGGAAGAGCAGCTGCTTGGTAAGTCAATACATAGCACCACAGAGGGCTCAAGCACAAGTGTTCTGGGAGGGGCTAAATGGTCATCTTCACTAAAAATTGTTGGTGTTAATTGGAGAGCAATTTTTCATTAACTGAAATGATGTCTCCTCTGACACTGGACACCTGTACCAGATCTGTTAAGTCCTGGTGTTCTACAATAACCATGTGACTAAACCCCTCTGCTCCGAGCATGGGTTTTGTGGCCAGTTTACACCTTCTGGAAATGTGCCTCCAGTCAGAGTAGTGGCACATAGCAAATGGTGCTTACTGGCTCTGCTGACTGCTTCTTGCACTGACGGTTTCTTTGCTGCAAAATGAGGCAAAATGACCATTTGCAGGTACCTACAACCCAGGTGCATGGCTGGTGTGGAGGGCTCCCAAGCATATAATCCTTTGCCATCACTCTGCTACCAGTTAAGTGGTAGTGCCAATCATCTTGCTAAGTTGATTTAGCAAGTCTAAGTTGATTTAGCAAGTCTAGCCTGCAAAGACCCTGAGTCAGCTGAAGGCTACAATGAAGGAGAGTGTTCAGTATTTTAAAAGAGCAAATGAAAACCAGAAACGTCTGTTTTTAGAAACACATTTTTAAAGGTTAATGTTGACCATTCTTTAACTGAAAAAATAAAAATTGTAAATTGAGAATAGAAAACTGTGGTTTCTGACCTTCAGAGGGGAAATGTATGAGAGAGATTTGAGTTAGGTGAGATGTAATTTTTTGTTAGAAGGGGATGTCTGGACAAAACCCCAAAGGCTGGATGAGTTCTGATTGTCATTAGCAGTGTCTCAGGCATAGCTAGGTCCCTCTTGGAGCTGAAATTTTCTCTTGTGTCATGGTGGAAGGAAGGGGAAAATGAGGAGTGACTGGGTCCAGAGCAGTCCAAAATCACTACTCATGCATCACTAACAGCAGCTAAAAACATTACAGGAAATTATTTCAGGAGATGCATCTGCTGCTAAATGAGACAGAGCCACCTAGCATACCCAGCAGTTCTGTGAATTTGCAGTAAGAGCAGTGCCTTCCCTCCAGGTTAGTCTGTATTGACTTTCTCATTTCTTTTTAAAATGGCTAATACATTGGTGGATCTGTGCTTGTCTGAGCTATGCAGGCTCAATTTTACAGGGAGAGAAGGTGAAGATGAGATATAACCCATTTTACTGCAGAATTGCTACTCAGCAGCCATAGCCAAGACATGGCCCTTATCCCCTGAGCTTTATATCCCATGCTGCCAGCTTTCAGCTGTCACTTTATAGCATGGGCATTTTACAGCAGAAACTACATGTCCTCATATGTTTGAAAATGCCTGGTGTACCTAGAGATGCCCCCCCACCCCCCC